GCGGCAACAACACCTCCAGCTTTGACGTTCAATTCACACCTGCATAAAAGAAGCTCTTTATAACTTTCTCAGCTAACACATGGGCGGCAACAACACCTCCAGCTTTGACGTTCAATTCACACCTGCATAAAAGAAGCTCTTTATAACTTTCTCAGCTAACACATGGGCGGCAACAACACCTCCAGCTTTGACGTTCAATTCACACCTGCATAAAAGAAGCTCTTTATAACTTTCTCAGCTAACACATGGGCGGCAACAACACCTCCAGCTTTGACGTTCAATTCACACCTGCATAAAAGAAGCTCTTTATAACTTTCTCAGCTAACACATGTGCGGCAACAACACCTCCAGCTTTGACGTTCAATTCACACCTGCATAAAAGAAGCTCTTTATAACTTTCTCAGCTAACACATGTGCGGCAACAACACCTCCAGCTTTGACGTTCAATTCACACCTGCATAAAAGAAGCTCTTTATGTTTGCCATAAAAATGTTTCTACCATGACGTCATTTCCATTTTAAAATCTAAAGCGATTCTTAGTCACCTGTATGGATGAAAAACGATTTTTTTTAGACGTTGATATTTCCGGAATGATCAACGTACAACTCTGACTATGTGCCTCATTTTGTATGCAACAAAATTTTTGGTTGTATACAAGTATGAGATTTTTTCCTGAAATTGAAATCATCTTAGATCCTGAGGTTGAACAGACATTTTTTTTTTCGTTCAAAAGTCAAAAATAGTATTAGCTCATTTTATTGTCTGGGAAGAATCGTTTAAAAAAAAATATATATGATTAAACAAAAAGTCATGAAGCAACATTTATGTGTCATGAAGCAACTGTTATGTGTCATGAAGCAACTGTTATGTGTCATGAAGCAACTGTTATGTGTCATGAAGCAACTGTTATGTGTCATGGAGCAACTGTTATGTGTCATGAAGCAACTGTTATGTGTCATGAAGCAACTGTTATGTGTCATGAAGCAACTGTTATGTGTCATGAAGCAACTGTTATGTGTCATGAAGCAACTGTTATGTGTCATGAAGCAACTGTTATGTGTCATGAAGCAACTGTTATGTGTCATGAAGCAACTGTTATGTGTCATGAAGCAACTGTTATGTGTCATGAAGCAACTGTTATGTGTCATGAAGCAACTGTTATGTGTCATGAAGCAACTGTTATGTGTCATGAAGCAACTGTTATGTGTCATGAAGCAACTGTTATGTGTCATGAAGCAACTGTTATGTGTCATGAAGCAACTGTTATGTCCGGAGAGGAAAGAAACACTGGAAAGAATGATCAATTCATTGATCGAGGGCCCTCAAAATAAAGAAAAAGAAAGGACTTGTATAAAGTGAATAAATAAACTTTGAATAACTTAAAATGCGATACATGTATATAACTATGTCTAAGACGTCATTGTCTGGAAGCGTTTGTATAAATAGAAAATAGCAGACAATGTTTTGGCTTCGAACAGAAGTGTCCTGGCTCGATATCTCAAAGCCAGTACCGTTGGGATTTTTCAAAAAAATAAATAAATAATAATAATTACTAGAGTCACACGATACCTATGTGGTATATTTTCACCAACGCCACACAATGATCAGCGCCGCCCCTGTAATTTACTTACTTTTCTTTACAAGCTTGATAATAACAACCCTGTCGTGATCCTCCTGCGACGTCCTGGCCAACCTTTTCTTGTTCTCATTGTATCCATTCCAACACCCTCCCCCCCCTCCCCACCCCCCTGCCCTTCTTACTCCAACCCCCTGCTATCGGATCGGATCTTTTATCCGACTTCGATCCACGAAATTATTAACGCTATCTAGCGCCGCGACGCTGGGAGAAAGCCCGCGGGTCCAAAGGGCGGCCATTTAGCATGCAATCAAAGTTAACTGCTACATGCTGCACTCCCCTCGCACTTGTAAACCTTTAGAAATGGCCCCGAGCACGGCAAAATTGGAAGGTAAGTACGCGAGTCTCTCCACGGCCGGTGAGTTTCCAAGTGCTGGAAATCTGTGCCCATTGGCATGTTGGTTTATTTCAATGGTGTTTTTGAAGAACATCGATATAATCCTCTTAGCCGCCATATTCAAATCCCAGCCGCAGTTAGATTTCTCTTTTTTAAGACCTCCACTCCAGATCGCCGGTACTTGAGTGGCACCTGAAAATTGATAAGAACGACGATCGGAAGGGTGGGGGTGTGGGGGCATTCGCCCCTCTTCCTCTTGTGAGTTACGCTTTTATTAAAAAGATAGAAATTCAAATTTTAAAAATTTGATTCTGTGACACATCAGGAGGGTTAGAACGTAGAACTGTCTACCACTCCAACAAATGCCACATCAACTGGATCTCCGAGTCCCCCCCCTCCCCCCCCCCTTTGCCTTTTTTTCCAATCCCCGCTGTCTTGAGTTCTCTTCCAGCGCCGTGTTTGATTGTATGAATAGAGCCGCCACTAATACCGCCGGGGCACTTGACAGTTGACAGTCTGTCGATCAAACCTTGTGCACACAGACCTGGTTTAGTTCAACAGGGTTGTGTACAAACAGTGGCATACGACATTCACGCGATAGGTTTGTGGCAGTGAAATCAAGTTGATAGTTTTTATTGTCGTTTTTTTTTTTTTTGAGCGGGGGCGAAAATCAAGTTGACAATGTAGTGTGATAAATGAAGTTGATAAGTGTGTAGGAGTCAATTTCACCACAATCTCAGCACAGTTGACACTGACCAAAAGTCACTTCTAATCAAATGGCTTCAGTGTGTTCTCAGACGTGGTGACTACCTCCCCCAGATACCCGCCCATGCACTGGATTCAACGGCTCGACTCCTTTTCTTGAATGTTGGTAAGTTTTATTCCTTTACATAACAGTCCATTACAGTGGGGGGGGGGGGCGGGTGTTGTTGGGGGGAGGCCGGCTTGGTCAGGGGCATCAAAGGTGTGGATCTTTACAGCAATCTTAAAAACAACAAAATGGGGATAAGGAGACTTAAAAAGGTCGTCTGCGAGTCCACACCTTTTCATAAATACAATGGAATCAAACCTCCGATGAAAAAAACTTTTGGGCTATGATTGTTGGAATGAGGTTTTGTTGTATGTCGGTCGTTCAACAATTAATCATTGGCAAAAAGTTTTTGATCTGAAATCATTTTACTAACGAAATTTAAAAAAAAGAAAAAAAAAGTTCTATTTTCGTTTCAAATATTTAGAAATCCCTTCTGTGGTGGATAAACTAGAAACCGTACCCACTGCCCACGAAGACCGGAGATCCAGTGACGGAACCAGAAGAGGCGTCACGACCTACCACGTGACCCACCCGATCGCCTCTCTCTCGTAAAGCGTAGAGGGAATGTAAGATTACGGGGCCTGGTCAGGTCTTTCATCTACCCGACGTCAGGTCTTTCATCTACCCGACGTCAGGTCTTTCATCTACCCGACGTCAGGTCTTTCATCTACCCGACGTCAGGTCTTTCATCTACCCGACGTCAGGTCTTTCATCTACCCGACGTCAGGTCTTTCATCTACCCGACGTCAGGTCTTTCATCTACCCGACGTCAGGTCTTTCATCTACCCGACGTCAGGTCTTTCATCTACCCGACGTCAGGTCTTTCATCTACCCGACGTCAGGTCTTTCATCTACCCGACGTCAGGTCTTTCATCTACCCGACGTCAGGTCTTTCATCTACCCGACGTCAGGTCTTTCATCTACCCGACGACATTTCTGAACACTGTTGGGGACTAAATTCTGAGTGAGCGAGCGAAAAAGACATTCTACGGGGATATTTTATTTAAGATTGGTTCGTTTCTTTAAAGGTATGGTTTTTTAGAAATAAAAAGAAAAACGTTTGTCTACCTTTTTCAAGATAAGATAAGATAAGATAAGATAAGATAAGATAAGATAAGATAAGATAAGATAAGATAAGTTATTTACTTTCACGATATTTAAAAAAAAAATAAATGAATAACAAGTAAGAACAATTAATTCAGCCTGCATGTTATAGTTTATGGAATGGTGACGTTGCCAGTTGCGATTATGACATAATTTATGTGGTGGTTGTCGCTGTTGCTTTATTGGCTGAGTTATGTTTAGTTGTTTTGTTGTAATCTTCTGGACATGCGTTCTCGGTTTTTTTGTTGTTTTTTTTTTGTCTGATAAGAAAAAACTTTTCATGTTGTTTTTTGTTTTTTTTTTCTTGTCATAGACTTTAAAAAAAAAATGTTTTGTGAAAATAATAGATTTTATTTTCCCCATGGAGTTTTAAAATATACCAAATAAAATATTAATTTGAATAAAGCAAGAAAGTAGGTCAAGGTACGTTTCATTAATGATTAAATTCAAATGAAGGTCTGAAACTCCGTTTCCTCAAATTTGATCAAAAGAAATTTCGTCGACGGTAAAAATGATCGACGGTAATTTGATCGAACGGAAATTTGGTCGAATCTTTTTTTTTCTTCTTCAGTTTTAGTTTAAAATGTTGCTTCAAATTTCTTTTTGAACGCATTATTTTGTTTTACTCTATAGTATGATGCGTTCAAAAAGAAATTTGACGCAAATTTCAATGTGTGAACTGAACAAAGATTCTAACCAAATTTCCGTTCGATCAAATTTCCGTCGATCAATTTCCCGTCGACGAAATTTCTTTCGATCAAATTTCCGGTAACTCTGAAATTCTGTTTTACAAAAAAAAAAAAAAAAAAAAAAAAAAAAAAAAAAAGGGCTGTTACAGACTTCTCTGTCTCCTTAGGGAAAATATGGATCACGAGGGCGCGGGAATGCTTTTGCATAGAGTCGATAATGAGGCCAGCAATCACATCTTTTTTTTTTTTTAAGTCGGTCTTTTCAATCACGGACTTACAACCACGTCTGTCAATCATTCAGGTCTCAAATGATATTAGCTCGTCCTGGTCTTATCAAACAAACAAACAGATCAATAAAAAATAATAGTAATAAATAATGTTGAAAAAAAAATTGATTCTATCCATCCACCTCTGTGGCGCTACAGCCCATGTCGGGTTTAGTCCTGCCTCACCACTTCCTTCCACTCAGACCTAACGGAAGCTTTTCTTTTCCATACTTGGATTCCCAGCTGATGTAGATCTTTTTCCACACCACCCATCCCTCTAAGCCTGGGTCTGCCTTTGAGCCTTTTTCCTCTGGTGTTTTGGTGGTGCACCCTCTTCAGTCCTCTGCCATTTGGCATTCTCTCTCTCTAAGTGTCCCGCCCAGCGTAGAGTATCTTCCCCCCCCCCTTCCAACTAGCGTGGAATCCTGATATAGTCTACACGATTCCTGGTTGGTTCGTATTCTCAATCCATATTCATCCTTTGTCGGTCCATTTATTTTCAAGAGAACTTTTCTCTCCCACGTATTTAAAAGGTGATTCTGCCGCTTATATAATTAAATTTGAAATAATTTAAATCTAGAAATGCGTCATCCATGTTGTTGTTTTTGTTTGTTTTTTTTGGGGGGGGGGGAAGGGTGTGGGGTTGGGGTGCATGGAATAAAAGATCTGTTGATTAAAAAACAAATTATGAGCCAGCCAAATAAATGGATTACGCTGATTTCATCTTACCTTCTTGTTACCTTCTGGTTACCTTCTTGTTGTCAACATGATGATCAGTGAGTGAAGAAAGTTTACATGATTGCTGTCTTATTACATGAACACAGAGTAAGATCAATTTTACCAACTTATATCAACTATTTACACAGAGTTAGATCAATTTTATCAACTTATATCAACTATTTACACACAGTTATATCCATTTTATCAACTTATATCAACTGTTATCAAATTGTAACAAACGTTATTATATTCTATTAATTTATGTGAGACACTATGAGGTTCTATCTCATTAAAAGACACCTTAAAAAAAGGAATACTTATTTTTATATGGACAAAAATATCTAACATGGCTTCTAAAGTTTCACCGGATTTTTTTTTTGTTTTTTTTTTTTTTTTTTCCACGTTTCCATACTAAAAAATTTATATTAAAAAAAACACTTGTAAAATGTCTCAAATGCGCTTTTGGTGCGTAATATTTTCTTTCCTTTTTTTTTTTACATATGTCACAATTTACATTTAATGTAATGACTGCACAAAAATCTGTGAGAGGGGGGGGGGCATTAGACTAGTAATATAGTTCAGCGGAAGTAGACAAGTGGGCGTCGGCGTACCTGAAGGGTGAGGAGCGGATGCGGTCAGCACGAGTTGGGATTCTTATAAAGTGATTATCTTGAATGCAGGTTTTGTTAAGTAACTTTAGTGGATAGGGTGGTCGACGCGTCGCCGCTGCCACTGTCTGGCCGGGCCAGATCGAGTACACAATTTGGCATAACGGAAAAGAAACTAACATTTAAAATGCCCTACTAAAAAGTGTTTCCTAAAAAAATGTATGTTTTTTTTGGGTTAAAACTATACCAATCCCCCTTGACACTATCGAGTTCACTTCTCTCCATCCAGTGTCCACTCTTAGATACGAGCGTCTACTCCCCTGAAACGAGGGTTCCCAGTTAGCAATGTGAGTGATCCGTGTTAACAATGTGAGTGATCTGTGTTAAAAATGTGAGTGATCCATGTTAACAATGTGAGTGATCCGTGTTAACAATGTCAGTGATCCATGTTAACAATGTGAGTGATCCATGTTAACAATGTGAGTTATCCATGTTAACACTGTGAGTGATCCACGTAAACACTGCGAGCGATCCATGTAATCATTATGAGCTCTCCGTGTTACGACTGAGACCCGCTGATTTCTGAGTCCACATTTTTACCAGCTCCCAGGCCATGCTCTCACGCCGAGTTACGGCCCCTTGCCTGGCTAATTAATTTGTTCGGTCCCACGAGAGTTAACTTGTCATTAGCACGGACACAGATTGTGGACAACACAGCGCCGTGCTTATAATTAACTCTTTCACACCCAACTTTATCTAAGCTGTAAAGAAAAAAAAAACAACTTCTAAAGGTAATCTAAAGATTAAAAGAAAGAGAAAATCACCAATAACTTTAAACAAAAATGTAAGCGAAGGGTTTGTGGTAGAAAGGATTGTGTACAAAGCGGACACAGAGGAAGAGGTGTTTATATTGAAAATGGACGGATTTAGAGGAAGTGGTGTTTAAGTTGAAATTGGACCTATTTAGGGGACGAGGTGTTTAAGTTGAAAGTGGACGTATTTAGAGGAAGAAGTGTTTAAGTTGAAAGTGGACGTATTTAGAGGAAGAAGTGTTTAAGTTGAAAGTGGACGTATTTAGAGGAAGTGGTGTTTAAGTTGAAAGTGGACGTATTTAGAGGAAGTGGTGTTTAAGTTGAAAGTGGACGTATTTAGAGGACGAGGTGTTTAAGTTGAAAGTGGACGTATTTAGAGGAAGAAGTGTTTAAGTTGAAAGTGGACGTATTTAGAGGAAGTGGTGTTTAAGTTGAAAGTGGACGTATTTAGAGGACGAGGTGTTTAAGTTGAAAGTGGAGGTATTTAGAGGAAGTGGTGTTTAAGTTGAAAGTGGACGTATTTAGAGGACGAGGTGTTTAAGTTGAAAGTGGACGTATTTAGAGGAAGAAGTGTTTAAGTTGAAAGTGGACGTATTTAGAGGAAGTGGTGTTTAAGTTGAAAGTGGACGTATTTAGAGGAAGAGGTGTTTAAGTTGAAAGTGGACGTATTTAGAGGAAGAAGTGTTTAAGTTGAAAGTGGACGTATTTAGAGGAAGTGGTGTTTAAGTTGAAAGTGGACGTATTTAGAGGAAGTGGTGTTTAAGTTGAAAGTGGACGTATTTAGAGGAAGAAGTGTTTAAGTTGAAAGTGGACGTATTTAGAGGAAGAAGTGTTTAAGTTGAAAGTGGACGTATTTAGAGGAAGAAGTGTTTAAGTTGAAAGTGGGCGTATTTAGAGGAAGAAGTGTTTAAGTTGAAAGTGGACGTATTTAGAGGAAGAAGTGTTTAAGTTGAAAGTGGACGTATTTAGAGGAAGAAGTGTTTAAGTTGAAAGTGGACGTATTTAGAGGAAGAAGTGTTTAAGTTGAAAGTGGACGTATTTAGAGGAAGTGGTGTTTAAGTTGAAAGTGGACGTATTTAGAGGAAGAAGTGTTTAAGTTGAAAGTGGACGTATTTAGAGGAAGAGGTGTTAAAGTTGAAAGTGGACGTATTTAGAGGACGAGGTGTTTAAGTTGAAAGTGGACGTTTTTTAGAGGAAGACGTGTTTAAGTTGAAAGTGGACGTATTTAGAGGAAGTGGTGTTTAAGTTGAAATTGGACGTATTTAGAGGAAGAGGTGTTTAAGTTGAAAGTGGACGTATTTAGAGGAAGAAGTGTTTAAGTTGAAAGTGGACGTATTTAGAGGAAGAGGTGTTTAAGTTGAAAGTGGACGTATTTAGAGGAAGTGGTGTTTAAGTTGAAAGTGGACGTATTTAGAGGAAGAGGTGTTTAAGTTGAAAATTGACGTTGAAGTTTAAGCTCAGTATTTCAAAGAGTAGTGTTTGGTAACAAAGCAGTACTGTATGTAACTTTTGTTAGACAAATTTTATCCTTAAAATAATGTATACATATTGAGCCTACATATAAAAATGCTGAGTAGTGTATTATTATCTTTTTAAATTTAGATCCACAATCTATGTTGGTTATATCTATGCATCGCATACCTTCTAGAAACCTAAAAACAACAACATCAACAAAAAAAACAAAAACAAAACCAACTCAAGCCTCTTTTACCCCCAAAATTTTCAGAGTGCTTAAATTTAATTTTAGATCAAGTCCCGAAAATGTGGACTATGCTCTCTAAATATCTGTTTCCTAATCATTTGAACGGTTGTTATAACCTCTGCAGTTAAGCCCACGGTTGATATTGCTCACAAGGCGATCTTCAGCTTGTTCAAACTTTGCCGAACCAGAAGTTCTGTCCGCTACTCTACAGACAGCGTCTTCTACCAGACGCGATGTTGTATTAGCGGATATAGTGTAGGTAAAAAAGGGTAAATGGGGAGGGGGGGGGGGGCACCACCGTCTTACCCGGCCCTATGAATATGTCTCGAGCTTTCACATGGCTCCCTGCACAAAACGGCTGGCCTTTGCTTGACCCGCCAATTCGTATGCAGATCAGATCAGACACGGAGTGAAAGGGGGTTTTCTCCGCGACCACGGTGTCATTGCCCAAGTGAATAATTTACACGAGTCAATATTGATAGATGACTACCGGACACTTCAAACAAATGTGTACTCGATACTTTCAATACCGACACTTTAAAAAAAATTGTAAACTCGATACTTTCAATACTGAAACTTTAAACAAATTTTTATTCGATACTTTTTTTAAAAAAAAGCTTAAGGATAATTTGAGTCGGAATGTTAAGGAGTCGTAATCACTTCTGTGACGCCTATTTACATTCGATAAAAAGTTATGAATAAATTATCTTACTTTTATCCACAATCTTAAAAATCATCAAAATTGCGTGGGTTGATTTCACCCTACTCTCACCCCAAAAGTCTCTTCGCCCTGGAGTAACATGTCAACCAAGATACCCCAAAGGAGATATTTCCTTGTGAGCATGTCGACTGCGATGTTCCCTCCTCTCACTGTGAAGGAGACCCACTGTGAAGCCAGGGCGTAACAAGAAATATAAGACAAAGGCTCTCAAATGGGATGGGGCCGCGTAAATAACATGTGTATATCCCATTTTCATATCTTCTTATGTTGCTAATTGGATCACTGTGAGGTCTGGAAGATGAGGCAAATGCTCTTTTCGTTTCACATTTGATTGGTCAAACCATTTGAATGTCCAAATATTTGGTGAGGCATTCGATTGGTCCAACAATTTCAATGTCCAAATATTTGGTGAGGCATTTGATTGGTCCAACCATTTCAATGTTCAAATATTTGGTGAGGCATTCGATTGGTCCAACAATTTCAATGTCCAAATATTTGGTGAGGCATTTGATTGGTCCAACCATTTCAATGTTCAAATATTTCATGAGACATTTGATTGGTCCAACCATTTCAATGTCCAAATATTTCATGAGACATTTGATTGGTCCAACCATTTCAATGTCCAAATATTTCATGAGACATTTGATTTGTCCAACCATTTGAATGTCCAAATATTTGGTGAGGCATTTGATTGGTCCAACCATTTCAATGTCCAAATATTTGGTGAGGCATTTGATTGGTCCAACCATTTCAATGTCCAAATATTTGGTGAGGCATTTGATTGGTCCAACCATTTCAATGTCCAAATATTTGGTGAGGCATTTGATTTTTCCAACCATTTCAACGTCCAAATATTTCATGAGGCATTTGATTGGTCTACCCATTTGAATAGCATGTACGACTGACGATTATTGTATGTGTGTGCTGAGTGAACTTTTGTGACCTGATCGTCCTGTGTTGTTGTCGTGTTGCATGACTGGACGTGGTGAGCTGTTTTCAAGGAACGTTTAAACTTAAATGGGGGAACACTGGGTTAGGGAAATGGAGTGAGAAGTCATGTGATGTGAGTCAGGTATAAAAAGAATGTAGATTGAGGAATAAAGATGAGCTGTTATACTGACCACACACGCGCGGGTTGGGATCATATTGTATCATTACGCCCAATACAAAGTCGCAAAACACTGTGAAAGCCATTTGTTTGGACTACCCAACCCCCACCCCCCCCCCCCCCCCCCCCCCCCCCCGCCCCACACACCGCTAGCCCACTTCATATCCCCCCCCCCCCCACCCCCACCCCCACCCCCCCCCCCCCTGACAGTTCCCAAATAGTTGTATAGCCATTTGAATCCCCCCCCCCCCTCTTCCCCGACAATGTCCAAATAGTTTTTCGGCCAATGTCGGCTTTTATTCATGTCGAAATTGGTCCCCATGTTGCTGGTGACACATTTTTCTGAACGATAGCAGGCAAATAGTGTCCAATAAAAATAAAATGTAATAATATAAGATTCCCTTGTAAGGGACTTAATTCCTGTTAAAAGGATTATGAACTTAGTTGCCTTCCTTAATTGTACACATTTTACTGTATTAAAAAAACAAAAACAAAAAACATCCTTTATGTTTTTTTCTATCATTACATGACAAACTCATCACTGACTCCTGATGTGTCAGAAAAGGTCTGGTACTGATTACGACTTCCATTGGTTAGATTCAGTTCGACTGATGGCTCTCTACATTAAAACATTACATTTTGGTAACAAAATTATTACCCTTAGCCAAAGACCTGAGAACTTTATATTGTTTGTATTGTTTGAAGGTTACGCTAAGGATGTGAGTTCAATGTATCTGTACCACCCCCACACCTTCCTCCCCCCCCATTTATATTGTTTTTATTGTTTGAAGGTTACCCAAAGGGAGTGAGTTCAATGTATCTGTACCCCCCCCCCCCCCTCCCCCCCCCCCCCCCCGGATGTTTGAAAAAATGAACAAGATCAAACCAAACATCAATTGAACGCCCCAAACTTGACCTACTTTCAGAGTTGCACAGTTTATTAATCAAATATATGTTATGGGCTCTTAGAACATGACAGATCCTCATGGGGACGCACACATTTATTTAGTCGACGTTGGTTCGCCATCAGTCCTGCCCCCCCTCCCCCACGACCCTAATAAATTGTGTCGTAGAATAGAATGTTTGATGAATTCTGCTCTAAGCCTTATTCAAAGGGTTGTACGCGAAATGTCGTGTGTGCCATGGGCGTCTTTTGGGTTTCTGAACTGTGCCATGGGCGTCTTTTGGGTTTCTGAACTGTGCCATCGGCGTCTTTTGGGTTTCTGAACTGTGCCATCGGCGTCTTTTGGGTTTCTGAACTGTGCCATCGGCGTCTTTTGGGTTTCTGAACTGTGCCATCGGCGTCTTTTGGGTTTCTGAACTGTGCCATGGGTGTCTTTTGGTTTTCTGAACTGTGACATGGGTGTCTTTTGGGTTTCTGAACTGTGTCATGGGTGTCTTTTGGGTTTCTGAACTGTGCCATGGGGCGTCTTTTGGGTTTCTGAACTGTGCCATGGGCGTCTTTTGCGTTTCTGAACTGTGCCATGGGCGTCTTTGAATTTCTGTTCTTGGACATGGGCGTCTTTTGGTTTATGAATAGTCTCAGTTCGCTTTGACCATTGGTCTGCACAGTAAACCACACGTGCCATGCCCGTGTCCATATCAAGTAGAGCAAATTTTTAATTTATTTAAATTTTGAAGACATCAGGTAACATTATCTTCGAACGCTTGAAGGTTTAATCACAAAATGCAACTTTGATGCCCGAAGCTCTCACTGTTTACCATACTTTATTTAACACCATCTGACATTTTATTTTCTTTGGGGGGGGGGGTGTACTTTCAAATAATACAATTTATTCACCTAAAAAAGGAGAAAGAGAGCGAAAGAAGGTGTGGAAGGTGAATTGATAATTTCAATAACAGGCGGACACACTGATATTGCCATTAAATAAAATCTACCGTGTATGCTTTTCTTTTCTTCTGCATCACCAAATGGGCCGAGTACTAACAAAAATATTTAAAAAATGGACCACGTGACTTACCAAACGATATTCTTAGGAATGAAGCACTCTAAAGTCACGTGGGACTCTGATTTCAAAGTTTGTACAAACACCTCCTCACCGCAACACCGGAGCCCCCACTTTCGGGCCCCAAGAGCTCCGGCAGCGGTTTACCGAGTACACATTCTTGACAGACCTCCCCAAAACTCGCTTCCGTCATAAACATTGGTGTTTAAACACTGAGCGCTTTCCGCTAGCTGGATGGTGCTTAGGTCTCTACCATTAAACTCCTGATGCTTTGAAGATTCAGTGTGTTGTTTGTTGTAATGAACCATTAAGAGATTTGCACCAGGGGTTGCAGTTTTAACTTCTTTGTCGGAGATTTCAAAAATCCAGATATATTATTTTAAATCGACCGAATTTCATAAAAAAAGTTAGATTTCGCTTCATGATTTTTATGTGTGTCATGCAACTTTTTATAAGTGTTTTATTCAACTTTTTATGTTATCAAAGTCAAGTTAAACTTTTTTTTTTAGTTTTCAGTGGATAACAGGATTAAGTTTAGATTTTGATTTAATTCATTTAAAAACCAATGAGAATTTGTAGCTTTCTGTCCATACGATGTGTCATCATTGAGTCCATGCGAAATGTCAACTTTGAGTCCATGCGAGTTGTCATCTTTGATTCCATGCGAGGTGTTATCTTTGATTCCATGCGAGGTGTCATCTTTGGGTCCATGCGAGGTGTTATCTTTGATTCCATGCGAGGTGTCATCTTTGAGACCATGCAAGGTGTCATCTTTGAATCCATGGATGTGTCATCTTTGAGTCCATGCGAGGTGTCATCTTTGAGTCCCATACTCAGACTGTTGTTTCTGTTGCTACGCCACTCAAGCTATAGAAGTTATTTCGTGAAAAATTGTCCTTGAAACCCCATTTTGTAGTCATTTTTTGTTGTTGTTTTTTGTATCGCTTTTGTGTCAAGATTCTCTCTGTCTCTGTAAGCTGCGGACCAAGCCGTTTATTACATGGTCACCTTATCACGGCATTGACAATCTCTGGTCAAATAATTATTGACCACATTTCAAAAAAGGAAGCGTGTCTCTTATGTTCTAGCTTGGAGCTGGGGGCTCGTCTGATTTAGAACCACTGTTTGCTTGTCGGACTCATTAGGTCGGGTCTCGCTGACCGACGTTATCACCGAGCAGATAGAATTTTACGGCTGAAAACATTACCATTACTTTATGCGGGAAAGATCTTGAAAACATTACCATTTCTTTATGCGGGAAAGATCTTGAAAACATTACCATTACGTTAGCGATAATGTACAGACCGTTAAAAAACAACAACATAAAATGGCGTAACATAAGATTTATGCTTTGAATAATTGCCCTGCTGTGTATGCGATATTAATAATCGATAAACGATATCAGTAATCGATCCTGTTTTTTTTTTTTTAAATAGATTTAAATCTCATTACAATAAGGCGGCCACATTACGTGGCTGCCCGGTGGCATTCAATACAATGCACAAAAATTGTGTGCTGCTGGTTTAGTTTTAAAAGGAACACGTTTTAAAAAAAATAATAATAATTTTTCTTTTATTTAATTTTTCCGGAATTCTTGAGACTTTTTTTTTTTTGGATCGGATTCCAACTTTTTGTTTTATCTGTAGCTTATGGCGTAGTATGAAATACGCATTGAAAAAACATGAATAAATATAACATAAAATACTAAAACAATTACTATACCAACATATATAACCGTTTATCACCATATATCACAGTAGGTCACAATATATGACTATATATATCCATATATCGCCATATATCACAAAATATCACAATATATATCACATATTGCCATATATCACCATATACCGCCATATATCATCATATATCGCCATATATCACCATATATCGCCATATATCGCCATATATCGCCATATATCACCATATATCGCCATATATCACCATATATCACCATATATCGCCATATATCACCATATATCGCCATATATCACCATGTATTTTCAAATGTCACCATACATCGACATATATCATCATGTATTGCCATATATCGATTTTTACCGCCATATATTACCATATCATCACCATATATCACCATACACCATCATATAATCACCATATATCACCATATATCAAATATTTATTTAATCATAATATCACAATGTACCACAATTATCACCACATAATCACCATATATCCCTATACACCATCATATATCACCATATAATCACCATATATCACATATAGCACCATATAATCAAAAAATACCACCAGATATACCACCAAATAATCACCATATACCACCGAATAACCACCATATACCACCAAATAATCAATATATACCATCAGTATTATAAGGTGTTCCACTTAAAACAGATTCAAGTGCAACCATCGTAAAGCCCCACATTGACGTGATCCGTTTTTTATTGAGCCAATTATCACGTTATGGCGCGCTTTCAATCAATATTTTATGCCGCTCCCCCTACCCCCCCCCCTCCAAACCGTGCCAAGTAAGGAACTTCCAATGTCTTTCACCCCCCAGGAAAGGAATAGCACATAGAGCTGAAAATAAAAGCAACCCTGAAGAGTTTCCCGGCCAATACTTGGACACAAAAAAAAAACCGTATTAACATTTAGTTTAGTATTGTAAGATTCTATTATGCTGAACCACTTTCATACAACAAGACTCGGAACAATGCTCAACATTAAATGGCAGGACAGGGGTCCCAGACACTGAGGTGCTCGCTCACACGGGCAGGTCTCCCGAACATCTTTACCATCTAAATGAAGCCCAAGCTTCGCTGGGCGGGACATGCTGTGAGAATGTCAGACGGCAGTCTGCCCAAAAGAATTTTCTATGGTGGGCTCCAACGAGGCAAGCGGTTTGCTGGCGGACAGAAGAAAATGTTTTAAAGACATCCTAAAAGCCTCACTGAAAGCGTTCAGCATAAACCCAGACACGTGGGAGGAAATAACAAAGGATCGAACATCATGGCGTTCTACTTGGCACAGGAGCTCCATGCAACATGAAGTTGGCAGAACAGCAGTTGCACAGCGCAAGAGAGGAAGGCCCGATCTGAATCTGCTCCCGGAGATGCCCCCTGCACCCACTACACAAGAGAATTTCGTGCAAGATCGGCCTCGTTAGACATCTACTCACCCACAGACAGAACTAGCAAAGATCTGCTGATTAAAGTGGTCATGGTTGACTCCCGATGGATGAACAACAACAACTAAGACAACATAAGATTATATAAGATTATAACGCTTTAGATATGTATTGATACCAACTATTACAGTGGCATCATCTTTCCTTCATCTTCCCCTTAAAACACAGAACAAACTGATTTTTTTTTCGAGGTAGGGGTTGGGCTGATTACTTTTAAGGATGTGTTGTCATCGGCAACGAGTCTGTGTATCATATTTCCTCTCGATAAGTTGACGGGAAGTGGGTCAATTAGCCTTTGGAAGATTTTGCCACACACACAGCCAGAAAGAAATGCACGAACGCACGCGAAGTTAATGTCAAGGTTTTAAAAATACCGGAGGATGAACCACAATTCCTCTGGCTAAATTTAAAATATTTGTTAAAACGAAAGTTCCGAGAGTAACGAAACAAGATGTCTTCCGCTCGCGTTGTTCGGTGTAGGCAAGTGCCGATGTCTCGATGTCTTCAATTATTTAAGGGCATGCCCATTTCATTTTGTTCACGTGAAGCACGCAGGCCTACATGGTCGTTCTACCTTGGCCAGTCCACACGATTCTATTTCATTATTTAGTCAGACCTTTGAGTTGACGACAACACAGGTTCCATATGCATAGACAGACATTTTTACGTGAAATAAATTGAGCCAACCGGAATCACGTCATTTTTAAATAAAAAAATAATTATTTTTAAAAGACAATTAAATATTATTTTGTTAATGTTAGTTGTTCTTGGGGATAGCTCTCTAACAATTCATTTGGTATGGATAGGTGCGTTGACTGAAGGGGTGCAACTTCTAAACTCTAAAGGGAACCAGATATGCTAAGTGGGGGGGGGGGGAGGAGGGGAAGCTGTCGTAAAACGGGGGGATGGAGGTAGGCCAGATGAGCTTCTCAGCTGAACTTTCCCTCTCCTAGGATTCTATACCATGCCGTGTGCGATTTTTAAAGGGTAATCCAAAAAAGGGGGGGGGGGGGGAGGAGGGGAAGCTGTCGTAAAACGGGGTGATGGAGGTAGGCCAGATGAGCTTCTCAGCTGAACTTTCCCTCTCCTAGGATTCTATACCATGACGTGTGCGATTTTTAAAGGGTAATCCAAAAGAAGCGAGGGGCTTGTGGGGGTGGGGGTATTGAACCTGATACAAAGGCCCCCACCAGACAAAAAGACGCCCATTAGATGCGAAGACTCCTAAGCGATACAAAGACTCCCATGCGTCGCAAAGACTCCTACGCGATACAAAAAGAACTATACTTGGTTACAGACACGGCAACACTATAACATGACATTAACAGGACAATAACATTACACTATCAATACATTAACACACAATAGCAACTGAACAACAGTACAATTACCGTAGTGCAATACAAATACAATAGCAGTACAAAAGCAAAACAATCACAGTGCATTAAAAGTACAATAACTAAATAGCAAAAAACAAATTAATAACAAAGTATCTTACACTCTGCCAGTAAACACTGCACTGAAACTCACACATACAGGCACGCATACATATGCTTATAAGCACGTACGCAGACTCAAACACACGCATGCATGCACACACACACACGCACCATCACACATATGCGCACGTACACACATACACACGCACACACACGCACACACATACACGCCCATGACAAAATGAAATGACAGGAAGCTCCACAACAAAGTACGTCCCTGATTAAAGAAACAGCAGCCGCCATGTTCCCACCAGAACCGGAAGTCAATGATGGATATGTACAGCAGTGCACTATTGTACCGGGGTGTCGGTAAAGTACAGGAAATTGACGTCATTGGCGGGGCCGCCATGTTTTTCATGTCCTGTTGTTATTAGGTGTAAGGGACGGGCAAGGAAGTACTTGTTGGATTTTAGTGTGTGTCTGGGTGTGCGTGGGTGTGTGTGGGTGTGGGGGGGGTTGTTTGGTTTTTAATAGGAAGGATCGCAGGATTTTCAAGAGGAGGACGCCTGCTGGAATCAGCGTTTAAAACTTTTTTTTTCCTTTTACAAAAAACGTTAGAAGAATAGTGTGTTCTTGCACCAACGGATTCTGGCAAAGTACGCAGTGATGAGGCTCTAACTGAAAATTCTGAATGAGTGGCCATTCGTTCAGTCATGTGGCCCTGAAGGGTCACGTGGCCTTGTAAGTCATGTGGCCCTGTAATGACATGTAACATCGTGAGTCATGTAGCGCTGAGAGACATGTGGCGCCGTCAGTCACGTGGCGCTGTGAGTCATGTGGCAATGCTATTCAGGTGGCCCTGTGAGTCAGGTGGCCCCGTAAGTCACGTGGCATTGTGAGTCAGGTGGCCCTAACATCAAAGTCTAAATGAGTAGCCCTTTGGAGAGTTCAAAAATCTTTAATATTTAATATTAATATATATCCATATATAAATTTATTTATAAAAGCATTTGGTCACACCAAAAACTGTATTTTAAAAATAATATTAATTTTTTTTTTAAATAAATGTTGATTAAATCTAGAGTGGCCCATTTTAAATGTACCACACAGAAGAGGAAACGCTGTGATACTCAAAAAATAGGAGCTGCTCATTCCTGCTCAAGGCAATCAGGGACTGGAACAATCTTTCCAAAGGAACGGTTGAGGCGACAACACTAGACACATTTGTGTCTATTGCCTCAAGCCTTCAAACCCCTAGTGCATGATTCCCTCATAAAGTGGCACTGGAAATCAGTGAAATGTCCTCATCAACACCAGGCACAGAAACATTGCAAATCCCATCTACATGCATAGGAGCCAAAATGATCAATAACTTGATCAAGGGCCCTTAAGATATAGAAGAAGAATAAAATGTTTATAAAATTTAAAAAAAAAAAATAATTACTGTATTTATTGGCGTATAAGACGCACCTCAATTTAAGAAGGAAATTTCAGGGGGAAAAAAAAACTAAACATTATATAGGCGTGTAACACGCACACATCATTTGCCCACTATTTTCATGGAGAAAAAGTGCATGTTATACGCCAATAAACACGGTAATCATAAATGATTTAATTTAACTCTTGAAATGGCTGACCAACCACTGCAGCGTCCACTTTCTCAGCTCGCATTTTACTTTTTTATGTTCAGTTTAGTTCGTACATTTTCGTTGCCAAGCTAAATCGGTACACGAATCAGAAGACCTGTAGTCTTCTATGATCTTTGCACTGCGGCATCGCTAAACAACAATCTCCTCCTATTGGAGTAAGCTTTTCAGACGTTTTTATCACCGTGGAATACCGGAAGTAGGCCGACGCAGCATGTCGAGGACCAATAGAAAATGAACTCGGCGCGCGCGCTGATGATCTCCAACCAAATGCCATTAAACCTCTTCCCATTCAGCTGTTTTGAAATCTATTTTTAAAATTGATGCAGTGATTGTGTTGTTTCTGTGTGGAAATACCAGAATGGACCACTTCATCTGATTACAAGCTATTAATTTTTTCTATTATTCAATCGATTACTACTTTTGTTCCATCGACTATATCTTTCATTCCCATTGTCGTCAGAATTGCAAAAAGTCCCCTTCACCCAAAAAAAGGGGGTGAGGTGGGGGATCTTTAGGCTATACAGTGAAGGGAGGGGATTGTAGAATAACAGTCTGAAGGATCTCAGGGTGGGAGGGGGGGTTTGAGGGGAGGGCTGGGGGAGGCGCTGATGTGACGTTGTTAAGTGGGCTGAAGATCGAACGTCCCTAAGGGCTGATGCAAAGATTGTTGTGTATGTGGATGTGTGTGTGTATGGGTGTGTGTGTGTAAGTGTTGTTTTTTTGTTGTGGAGGCTGGGGTTATAAAGGGTTTGGGGGACTAAGGCGTTGTCGGGCTCACGTATTTGGTGACAATGAATTCAAATATTATCAATTTCCGATATAAATGTTGTTAAAAATTCAGTGCTGGCACTGTCAAGGTATTTGTGTGAAGATTTTCTCCCCCCCCCCCTACTCCCTTCCTAATAATAAGACTGACCCCGACACCAAATCTTTAAGACTGATTGTGACACCAGATCCCTAAGACTTATTGTGACACCAGATCGTTAAGAACTGTCAAGGTATTTGTGTGAAGATTTTCCCCCCCCCCCCCTACTCCCTTCCTAATAATAAGACTGACCCCGACACCAAATCTTTAAGACTGATTGTGACACCAGATCCCTAAGACTTATTGTGACACCAGATCGTTAAGATTGATTGTGATACCACCTTTTTAAGACTGATTGTGATACCAAATCTTTAAGACTGATTGTGATACCGAATCTTTAAGACTAATTGTGATACCAACTTTTTAAGACTGATTGTGACAACAGATCTTTAAGACTGATTGTGATACCAGATCTTTAAGACCGATTGTGACACCAGATCTTTAAGACTGATTGTGACACCAGATATTTTAGACTGATTGTGACGCCAGATGTTTAAGACTGATTGTGAAACCAGATTTTTAAGACTGACTCTGACCTTTGAACTCCAAATATTTTTGTTTTGTTTTGTCCACAGATAACTATGAAAATAACACACCTTGCGCCCACGGCCTTACACTGACCACCTGTGTCCCGCAGTCCGGCGAAACTGAACTGAGGCCCTAAGGTCAAGATGGAAGAAGCCTCGCGACTTTCAAGGTCGGGTGTCGACGCCATGACGACCGCCGGGCCTGGGCCTGAAAGAAGGACATCGACCTTCACCACGGTCCAGGTATGCGGACCCAGAGTTTCAAAGCACTGACTGCTAAGTTTATTTATCTACGACGTGGGCGCAGAATGAAACTAGTATTCTGGTCACAAAACTCCATTTTAACAGCTTTATGCTTACTTGTTACATGCCGCTATCATGTGTAGAGAGCGTACGGCTTGTGACTATTAGTACACAACAAAGGATTAAACATTAATTAAATACAGTAATGAAGAGCGATACCCAAAGTAGGGCTAATTAGAAACAATGATTTATTAAGCTAACTTGACAAAAACAAAAATCAAATGGAATGAAATAAATCCAAGGCTTTTCACTTACAGTACAGCAATGAACTGGTACCGGTGCAATGTTAGAAAGGTGCACACACATGCACAGTAAATATAATGTACAAAATCTACGATCAGTACAGTATGTCAGTCTATAAGTCAATTCGTCTCGCTCCCGACTTGCATCGCGAAAATCTGTCTTTCTCTCTCTTTGTCTTGCAGACTCTATCTAGCTCTCCGTCCGTCGGCTTATTTGTATTCTTTCAGAGAGACTGTATTCTTTTCCGGAAAGGGATTACGCATCGTATCTGTACCTGGTCCTGTCTCGTAAGTTGTAGAGAATTTGGCTATAGGCTGTGCTTACACGTAGCCAGGGAGTTCAAGGGAGACCATTTATAAACAAGGCGAGCTTCCACCATAGCATCATGTTCTAGTTGGGATATTTTAAATGCGAAGAAAAGAATGTCCGGCAAGCAACATTCTTAGAAAAAATATTTTGCTTGTCACCACGGATTCACGTTTTTTTTTTAAAATGCGTATTCCATGATGGGATTAACTATTTCTGTCTTCAGTCACTGAAAGTGAATAGTTGCTTTAAAAAAGGAAACTGTAGGACTCTGACCCATCTTTTGCGGACAGGTCTCAAAACCAAATGTTATGGATTGAATTCACATACAAAGATATCTATCTGGGTAATAAGTCATACAGAGCCACTAAGTTGCAGTGCGTGAATTTAAGAGCTTATTTTGTTAAAGCAAACTTATAAGGATAAGAAAGACGCGAATCAAAATTCACATTTAAATGACAATGCTTTCCCGAAAAACTCAGAAAAAAAAATACTATTTTAGCAAAATTCATCAAACATTTTGATAATAGTCATAGAATACAGGTCGCCTTAAAGATTTTATTCTTAAGAAGATGATCCTATTCAATGATAAATTCCACACTCTGTCTATTTTTGTTGTGTTTTAATTGCAGATCACTCCCATCAAAGCCTCACCGGAAATGAAAAATGCCATCAGACGACAGAGGCGCATGGTCGGCATAGGCTACGCCCCTTCGGGACTTCCTTCCCAAAGGGTTTTCAAACCCGTCTACAGGGCCGTGCTGCCTGGGGGCGTCCAGCCCAACAGTACACAGTACACCATCATCACGTCCCACAGCCTGAGCGGACGTGACGTCACTGACGACCTCAATGGCGTCCATCAGCGTGACACGGTCGACGACGAGATGGAGACTACCGCCAACAGCGCCATTCCTAAATACGGAAGTGACGTAAAGACGCTGAGGGTCAACAACGGTGGCTACAGCGTCATCTACGAGAAAAGAGTTCACTTGCAAGGGGACAAAATGGTGAGTCCGAGAGGAGAAGCAGACAATGCCATGCTTACATCGACGCCTGCAAGTCTGAGGTTAACCCTCGCGCCCAACCATCACCGTCAGTTGAACATGGTGCGGTCAGTGACCTCAGATCACCTGACTGGACGAAACCCGATGGTCAGTAACATGAAGCCGTTTTTGGATGACAGCAGGATAAGCAGCGAGTCCTGGCAGCGAGGTAATCACGTGTTCCTGACACAAAGCAGGAGAGGACATATAAATATGACCTTCCAAGGTCAGGAACATGGCTTTGCCGAGAACTCAAGAAAAACTGATCCCCAGACAATAATGCAACCAGATATCACCGATGCGGAGTCCGCACCGGCAACGGAAAAACCCGATACGGGTAATATCCACCAGAAGCACAACATGCCGAGAGAGATGCCGTGTGTTGACTTTGCCAACAGCATCATCAGTGCCGTGAACTCTGACCTTAACCAAGTCTACCAACTCTGCCACGCAAGAGTCAAATACTCAGACATTATAGAAAAAGCGCAGCCCCACAGGCTTAATGACAACGCTTCGACGCGTGGGGGCGCAACAAGTAAACTAAGTATTGGGGCCCCTAATACTGGCGTGCCAAATCAGCTCAGTTTTTTCTCTCCGACTTCTGCCGCCTCTTCGTCCCCTTTGACGTCTCCAAGGCGTTCACAGTTGTTCCCCAACCTTCTCGTTAAACCTTCCAGGCAGGTGTTTTCAAACAAGTCAGCTCTAGAATTCGACACATCCTCATGGTCGACAACCTATCCTGGACAAGATTTTAAGAAAGAGTTCTCGGAATCGTCCCAGACTTCAGCGCCAGAACCGGTGGTCGATTATGATAAGTCCGATACTTTCGTGATCGAATTTAACGGAAACGCTTCTCCGAATTCAAAAAGACCAATTTTAAAGCATACTCTTAAAACGACCAACACTGGCGACACCTACGGCAAGACACCTGCTGGAGACGTCAACAACAACAGCAACAGCAGCAGCACCGATACGTTTCCAACAGTTACAGCGGGTCAGGGTAGCAGGAATGGAAACACGGGGGTGTCAACCAGTACGTTCAATCTGCAAGCGAGACGGAAGCTCCCCGAGAACGCCGGGCCGACCGCTGGCAGCAGAGAAAAGGGGAGGCTAGTGCGATTCAACGCTGATCCTAAAATTCACGAGTTCACTCCCTCCGAACCAGTTGTTCCCTCGAAGTTCCCTCAAACTGACTCGTAGATTATACACATTGTATTTTATTAGTGGAACTAAAAAGATAACCCGCCAAACCATGGCGGCCAAACCATGGCGGCCAAACCATGGCGATGGCAATGCATGCACTTCCCGTCTGCTAAAGTTACTTGACAAAACATCCATTGAAGTAACGCAATTGTTAAGAATTCCCAATTAGTGCTGACCTCTAGGAATTCACGCTCGCTTTGAACTCAGCCACACATATGTACTTTTAAAATTGTTTTTTCTGATTTACAACGTTCCGAGGCCAGTACTTTTTCCACATGAATTACTGTGTTAACAAAAATTTGTTGGAATAAAAAAAAAAAAGAAAAAGATCAGTGAAGTCAAAATACATGTGTTAATGTTTATAATACAGTGTAAAAATAATCAACCATATGTATTTGAGCCACACATTTGTCCTTTTAAAATTGTTTTTTCTGATTTACAACGTTCCGAGGCCAGTACTTTTTCCACATGAATTACTGTGTTAACAAAAATTTGTTGGAATAAAAAAAAAAAAAAAGAAAAAGATCAGTGAAGTCAAAATACATGTGTTAATGTTTATAATACAGTGTAAAAATAATCAACCATATGTATTTGTATTTTTGTGTAATGAAAGAAAAATGAATGGTATGGCATTTAGATATTTTTTTTTTGCAACAGATTTGTTTTAATCACATAATTTGTTTACAAGATGGAGGAACTTTGGTTTCCAAAATGGCGGATATTAGTATGTGTTATATGAATATTCCAATTAATTACAAAACTTTATTCATGTAATTACCCCAAGATTTACTTTTCGGAAGTATATATACCAATGTTACCATTATAGAACATAAAGAACTTCCAAAACTATTTGACGAATTAAAAATAATATGTATAGAATCTTCGAGACGCCAGAGCAGTGGCCTGGTTGTTAGTTGATGTGTTTACATTATCACCATTATTATAATCCCCGGTGTTATCAGACACAAACGGTAACGCATGGACTGAATGATAAACCCCCGGAATACTCAGACACGCAGACGACTCCGGCACTTCAATGGTTCTCGTCAAACTTGCATGGTGGCTCACCTAAGAGGAGGTAACAACGCTCGCTGCCCTTGCTGCTGTACACCCGTGATGAAAGGCGAAGGGGGACAACTCAGACTGATATTAAACTACCCCTAAAAACAAAATTTTCGTACGCTTTTTTAAAAATTATTTTATTTTATATTTTCTCCCACCCACTTTGACACCGCAGATTTATTGCACCAACTATTTCAGAAAAACAGGACAACATATTACGCACCAAACGCATTAGCGATATTTTTGTGTTTATTTGTTGAGAATAGTGAGGTTAACGGATATATTATTCCGTGAAATCATATTTTCTTCATCTTCCACGTGAAAAACTGGAAAAATAGAATTTCTGGGGTGGGGCTGAAAATTTTTTAGAATGCGTCTGCAAAGAGTCAACATGCCACGTTTCAGCTCGATAAGTTGACGGGAAGTTGGTCAATTAGCCATCCGAAGAAATGCAAAACCAAAAATGAAGTTAACATTAAGGATAATAGAAAAGGAGATGGTTATTCTCCAAAGACATTTCCAGGTCTTCGGTTTTCGCAAGTTGCACGGAAAATCCTTATTGCGTCCTATCTGTGGCTTCTCATCTGTGGATTCTCATTAACCGGGAGTAAGCCAGCCCGGTAAAACGGGATAAAATGTGACCCTCTTCCTGGGGCCTCGGGATAAAGGTGACCCTCTTCCTGGGGCCTCGGGATAAAGGTGACCCTCTTCCTGGGGCCTCGGGATAAAATGTGACCCTCTTCCCGGGGCCTCGGGATAAAGGTGACCTTCTTCCTGGGGCCTCAGGATAAAGGTGACCCTCTTCCTGGGGCCTCGGGATAAAGGTGACCCTCTTCCTGGGGCCTCGGGATAAAGGTGACCCTCTTCCTGGGGCCTCGGGATAAAGGTGACCCTCTTCCTGGGGCCTCGGGATAAAGGTGACCCTCTTCCTGGGGCCTCGGGATAAAGGTGACCCTCTTCCCGCGGCCTCGGGATACAAATTATGATATTTAAAATATATCATAAATTGATTTAACCCATATTTTTAAAAGAAAATTTAATTTATTATCTTTTATAAGTGAACATTTTGTAAAGATTTTTTTGAGAGTTGGTCCGTTGGTCCCCTTGCTATTAGTTGTTTCATCATTCTACCCCCCTCCACCACTCCACTTAGAACAAATAAAGGTTAACTCATGATAACATGATGGTTTATGCAAACGTAGCTTATGACTGACTGCCTGTTGAAAAAAATATTTACTCTGTATTTAAGCTTTGTATTCTATACAGTTAAAAATGTTGAATACCTCAAGAAATATTTAGAGCTAATGTTAAAACGGAAGTTTAGAAATAATTAACACTAACTTTGAAAAGTTAATTGATACATACTAATTCGATTTAGGAGCTAATTGAACACCACATGTTATAAAGTTACTGTGGGACATGATCAGCTGGTGAGCTCAGGTGATTGGAGCACGGGCAGGGCCGGCGCCTGGCATTGTTAGGGGGGGGGGAGCTGAAATCAGTCAAGTGTCGCCCTCAGGACAATTTTAGCAACGCGAGTTTGGTAGGGGTCGCCGGCTGGCTGTCTCCGAGGCTTCAAAGGTCTTGATCTCACCATGCATCATCACAGCAAGGAAAATTAGCTTGTAAACACAGTAACAATGTTCAAAGTCAAAGTGGCGATGGGTTTACACTAAGACTGAGCGCAACCGTTGGACAACAAATCTTTAAGGAGTGAAAAGAAAAAAAAAATTGAAATGATAAAATTAAATTTTGAAGATATCTATTGCACTTGACTAGTAAAACATTTGTAATTGCCATTATATACTTATTATCATTACGGCTGGGGTTAAAATAAATCTTTTTTAAGATTAATCTTTTTAACATTGCCGCCTTTCACGTGCTCTATTTCCGAAAATTGCATCTCTCATTATTTTTTTAAAAATAAAAATAAAAACATTTCAAACTGAATGTGTGTACGCCAACTCACTGAGCGAATTCAGCCTGGTCAAGGTGGCAGTAACACGCCCCACCCTCCCAGCCATGACATAGGTCAGTTCAACTCACGGGGTTCTTTACCACGCAGATGGGCCTCGCAAAACCCGGTCCCTTTTGCCAAAAACCGGTATTTTCGTCATTGAAGTTTACGAATACCGGAATCCAGGTATTTTTCGATATTTTCAATATTTTAGAGAATCTTTAGTCGAGATTCGAGGTGAGGATTTATGAGGGCCGGCGCCAGGAGGGTGCGGGGTCTTGGGCAAATTGAATTTTGAGAGGCCGTTGACGTTATATATTCGGCCGATAGGATATTAAGACACGTTATAGACATTGGACTAGCGAATAACTTAGAATATTGTGTCGACTGTGATTAGGAACTATTAGTAGGCTTAGGTATATTATAAATACACTACGGCAACGCACGGCCCACTTCGACGTCCCCCAGATTTATCAATGAAATAAAAACATTCAGAAGAAATATCATATTTTGACATTTTTTGAGGTTTTAACGATAACACAAATATTTAACTTCAGACTTTAATCAAACGAGCAAAAATAATATGCCTAACTTTTTAATTTAAATAGTTTTATTTATCAAATACTAGCGAGTACCCGGCATGCGTTGCAATGCCACTCAAGGAAAGAAAGTGTTTGCATGTTATGTTTCTTCAAGAGCTTTTAAATACTCAAAATTTTTCTTGTTTTTCCATCTGGTATATACACGAATAAATCAGAAGATTTTCCGACGCGAGAGCAGGCCACATACATCTGTCCATGGGCGAAGCATGGGTTTTCCAAATTTAGTCCGCAAACTTGTAGCGATTGTCCCTGTGCTTTGTAGATAGTCATTGTAGACGCGTGTCGCATCGGAAACTGTAGGCGTTTGAATTCAAATGGCATATCTGTTGGAATCATTGGGGTGAATGGCAAAAGTACATCACCTAGTTTAAATTTTCAATTTAAAATAGTAACTTCAATGGAACCAATTTCGGAAGATTCATTTGAAAAAATGTACCGTACCTAATGCTTCGATATCAAAGTGCGTTTCTCGTTGCAAATCAAGAGCGAAAAGTTTGTTTGCAGATCGATTCCGAGAGGTCATTCCCAACTCATGAATCATCAATCGATATGAATAGTATTTCATGGCACTGACTTTCTTATTCGATTTTCTCAATTTGATGTCAAAATGATATCCATCTTCTCCTTGCCAAAATAAAATAGGATATTGCAATCAAACGTATGAGCGATGAGTTTCTGAGACTCGCTGAACATCAACACTTCTGCGATGAAGAATTATATCACTTGAGTTAAATTCTTTGCCAACTATAATGATCGCCACTTCATCAATTGTTGGTGCATTGTATTGTCTTTCATGTTGGCCGACAGGTCTGCTCTAACTATGACTTTGTATTCATCAGTCGGCATCTTTTCAAGTGCAACTCTATACATTTGAATTAATTCGTTGTGTTGCAAAAATAACGTTTGCATTGCAGCGACGATTTCTCGTTTAGTGCCCGTATTGATATGACAACGTTGATCGATTTGCTCATCAGTATTCCCCATGAAATCATTTGAAGACATTTGTGATCTGTGTTTGGCATTGGCATCAGAGATCCTACACGATGGTAAATTTGGCCTTGCACTTTACTTTAAATGTTGGCATGTAATTCTCGCGCACGATATTTGTTGCACCGAACGATGTCATTTGGAAACATGAATTGCATTTGCGTATGTTTTCCAAGAAATGTTTCGATTGGCTATTGTCACCTGATACCAACAATGATAATGGTTTTGATGGTGAATGTAATTCTTACACGATAGGATCTCCCATCTTTTTACATGAAAACCTCGCACAATAGGTACGTTCATTGTTGGCAGGAGATTTCCAGTTGTCTAGTTTCTCATTAATTTATAAATCGTAAATTCCAGCGGTAAAAAAATGACCATAGTTCAATATCTACGCTGTCAAGTGTGTTATTTAATTACTTGAGAAACCATCGATGGTGTAAAATGTATTTACATAACACAAAACAACTCCGAAATTATAAGACTCTATTCAAGAAATACTCTTAGTTGAAAAAAAAAACGCGATTTCGATGTAATTTCCGATTCTAAAATGCGTCACAAAATTCAAGCTTATTTATACAAATAACAAAAATACTCTCTACACTAAAAATGTAAAAACGTGTTTTCTCTGCTTTACTACAAATGTGTCATTTGTTCAAGGGTGGTAGTGTTGATATCTCCGTTATAAATTTAATTGATGAAGCTCATTTAAGAAAATAAATTGAATTTAGGGTCCCCAGCCCTAATTGGAATATTGTACAAT